CTTATACACATCTAGATGTGTATAAGAGACAGGGGGGGGGGGGGCGGCTAACGCAAAGACCGGGCATTTTGCCAGTAGCTGCGCCTCCCATCGACTTCCCCCACCCCCATAAGGTAACAGAAGGGGATTCTTGATCTCCATGACGAGACGATTCGAGAGCGAAGACCAAAATGATAACAAACGAAAAGAACGGCTCCTGGTCAATAAAACTCTGTGCTCGTCCCGTTTTTTCGTGGTTTACTAACTTTCGTTCATGCAAGAGTGTACACACATGTACAAAGTTGCTGTTTCTGCAGAAAAAAGGCTTCTCATTTCCATCCACTTAAACCCAAGAAGGCCAGTGATGAGCGAGAGGGGGAAGGGGGGAGGTGGAAGGAGGCAAAAACAAGGTTTGTTTTGTCTACGGGTGGGGATGGAAGAGGAAAACGTAGGGGCAGATGTTGTGGGTTGTGCTGAGAAAAGAGTGGGGATAGAGAGTACGGGGTACGATTGATGGCCACCTGAGAGGCCAGGTAATGAGGGAGAAAGAGGGAGGGGGAAGGGCAAGGAGGGGGAGGGCTGTCTATAAGAAGGAAGGAGGCAAAAGGGGGGGGGCGTGTATGAGGAGGAAGGAGGCGAAAACAAGGTTTGCTTTGTTGAAGAGTGGGGCCGAAGTGGGGAAAGGAGGGGCAGATGGAGTGGATCGAGCAAAGCGGAGTGTGGGGATAAAGAGTAGGTTGTCTGATTGATGTTCACCTGAGAAACAGTTATGTCATCTAGTTGCAAGCGTGTATAGGCTCGATCCTTTGCAAGAGCAGTGATGTCGCTGAAAGATCAAACAAATCACATCACTCTGACGCGTCAGCAGCATGTCATCCATCCAATCAACACAGCCCAAAAAGGAAATAACCACCCCCATTCCAGGTCAGCTCTGCCAGGTCACTCTGACATGTCAGCTGCAGGATATAGGGGAGAAGACTCGCCAGCACCTCATCATGGATATCTGTTCATTTTCCTTTTTAAGCCCCCTGTCTGCCCAAGCCTCGCTTTTGCCCTACACAGATTTTTCCTGCGTGCCAATTCCTGACAAACCGGCACGGTGCACCATTTGGCTGCCGGCGCCAGCCCTTTCTGTCCGGTAGGCGCAACCCGTGATTTTGCGGCAGGTTAACCAACACGTTGGAACAAAACAGCTGGGAAATCGTACCGGTCAGCTTATCATTATTGAACCCATTAACGGGGGTAGCCATTGGCATTATTATTGTACCTAACAGGGTTTGAACTCAGACCAGCTTATCATTGTTAGCAACGGTTTGAAATGATTTCATGCTGCAAATGTCCCGAGTCCCAGTTGGTACCAGTCCCAGATGATCCCGGACCCACTAGATCCTAGGGTCTGTAGGTCCGGTAGGCTAGAGGTCGAAGCGTCGTATCCAAGTCCAATTTCGCAGCAGTGTCTGAGGAAAGTCCGGAACTGACCAGACCGCCAAAATGATGCCGCCGACTGGCCCACACAACCCGTACCGGTGGGAAGCAGGCCAAGCAACTTCCTATTTATAGCTGCTACAGTGCAGCGCTCCACTCAGCTGTTCATTCACAAGTTGCAGAAGCGCTGCTGGCTGCTTGTATGACCACGCAACCTGGGCAGTGAGCGCCTGGAGGTGGAAGAAGGTGCCTAGAGTCGACCATAGCTAGGGCTGAGTAGTGAGTTGGGTTGCTATCGAAGCCGAGGTCGAAGACGGATCTGAGCAAGTGTATTCAGCGTTACGATCTAGGGTAGCTTAGTGTGCAAGACTGAGTGATACAAGCATATACATACACACACACACACAGAGAGAGAGAGAGAGAGAGAGAGAGAGAGAGAGAGAGAGAGAGAGAGAGAGAGAGAGAGAGAGAGAGAGAGANGAGAGAGAGAGAGAGAGAGAGAGAGAGAGAGAGAGAGAGAGAGAGAGAGAGAGAGAGAGAGAGAGAGAGAGAGAGAGAGTACTTGGTCTGCTCCCGTCGGTTCTGTACCAGGTTCCCATATCGTGGACACGTTTCCTCCTCCCGCGGTTCAGTTCCCATCTGATACTGCCCCTGATCCAGACCTGCTTGCCTCCTCCCGCAGGTTCAGTTCCCATCTGATACTGCCCCTGATCCAGACCTGCTTGCCGCTGCCAAAACGTTTTCAGGTCCGAAGTCCAAGTCCCGCCCAGCGACATCTTTGTCTCCTGGTCTGTACTACCGACGAGATCGAATCCGATCCTTTCCCACCTGCTTACATCAGTGCTTCGAATCGTCGTGTCAGACCCTTCCGGCCCGATTACTTCCCAACCACCTGATGACCCATCCAGATCCAACCAACCCCCTGATGACCCATCCAGATCCAACCCTCCCTTTCCTTCTTCCCAGTGATCCCTGGTTCGACTCCCACTTATTAGTAGTTTTTCTTTTTGCACATTTGGAGAGTAGTGCAGCGAGGCCCATAGCGCAGCGTTGTTTTTTGTTTGGTGGCAGATTCATTACTTCGTTTTCCGTAGATTCGTTTTTTTTGTGTCTTTTTCCATATATTCGTCTTTTCCCTTTTTCCGAGAGGGCCGATGCTATGCCACGCAATGACAAAAATGAAAAGACGCAGGTGAAGGCTTTACTCGGGTGGGGTGGGGTGGGGGGGGGGCCTTGGGTACAGCTCGCACCAAATGTGCAAAATGAGAATGAATCTCCCGCTGGAACATGGGGAGATGCACTACTGTTCCCCTCCCCCCCCCCCGTTGTGATAGCTGTTTTTTTTCGCCTTTTTGGTAGCCCCGTTGGCCCTTGGCTCCAACACTCCACCCGCCAAAAAACAAAAACATCTGTGCATCTTACGATGTTCCAAGGGGAGGCTCGTTCATATATTGCATATTCGGTGAGTGCTGGAGCCAAGGTCCAACGCAGGCTACCAAAAAGGAAGCGCAAAAAAAAGGGTATGTCTTCCCATGTTCTAGCGGGAGATTCAGAGTGCGAGTCTGCCCTAAGCCACCACGAGGCCACCCCAAAAGAAAAAACAGCGGTGTGTCTTCCCATGTTCAGCAGTGTATCTTCCCATGTTCTGATGGGAGATTTGTTCTTTTTCCACCCCCTAAAAGCAAGATACATTCTTCTCTAAATTTCACCTCACGCTACCTACCTACCTTTACTCCTAATTATAGTCATACGGGGAACCCCGTAGCAGCCAGAAACCGTGTTCACGAGAGAACATGTGGGGGCTGCTCTTGGCCTGCAGGTGGGCGATACCGGCCAGCGGACAGCTGGTAGCATCAGGGACCATGCCAACAGGACCAATCCCTGCACCTCCCATCAGGTCCCCTCCCTACGAACATCAGCAGACTCTGCTCAATGCTGATGGGGGGATCCAGTGGTCTATCTCCTGGTGGTTGGCGCCGAGCATGCCCAGTAAGGGACATGAGGCCAATGGGGATTGAACCCACTACTTGCGAGCCTTACCAACTGAGCTAGGCCGCTGGATCGGGAGATTCGTTATCATCTGGTGAGTGCTGAAGCCAAGGCCAACGCCTTCTTTGCTTTTTCTGTTTGTTTGTTTTTCCCTTCTGGATCGTGTTTCGCATGGGTCACCCTGCCCTCCCTACCTCCTCTGCCCCGTCTTCTTTTTGTGGCAGGGTCCACTTGTTATTAGTACTTATTACCAATATTATCAATACTCCCTCCCCTGTACACTTATTCCCCAGTCCTCGTACCATTCCCCATTTCCTTATTATTACTACCATCAACACTCCCTCCCCCGCATGCTTGTTCCCCAGTCCTCGTCCCATTCTCCATATGCCCCCTGTTTTCGACCAGCTTCCTAGCTGTTTGCCCCATTTCACCCATGAGGGGGCATGCCTCCTGACGCATTCGACAGGAAGCCATTCAAGATTCTGCCGGGTAGTCTTGACGTCGAAGCTGCCTCTTCAAGGTCAGTAGGTCCTGCGCTGCCAGGTCATCAGATGCTGACATGCTCCACATTCTGTGCATGGCGAGCGTCACGACGGCCTTCTTCTGTCTCACTGTCGAGTACGACTGAAAGTCCTGGAAAGTGCCGAAGGAGAATATCTCCTCCCCCCAGATCTGGTTGAAGTTCTAAGGATAGCACTGACAAGTCACTTCGTTACCCTTGATCTCCATCCTTGTCCCAAGAAAATCCCAGACTACCCTCCCTTCATGTGTTCTTTTTAACGTCACATTATCGTCATAGGATATCGCAAACTTTCCCAGGATCCGCTCCCATCATTTGTCCCCCTCCTTGATTGGGGACCAGATGAGGATAGTGACGTCATCAATCAGTCTGAACCCTCGCACTAATCTCCTGTCAGTGCCCAGGCTTGCCAGGAAATTAATTCGTTCATTGCGCACAGACTGCAGGCCAACGGGGGACGACTGCTCTTCCCCATTGGCACGCCGACCCGCTGCTGAATCAGTCAGTCCAACGCGATCAGGTACGTATGTTCAAGTTCATATATCACCATATCCCTGGTCATTGCAAAGCTTACCTCCATCCACCATTCATCTCCCACCTTTCTTGCAAATGCCGTGCCTTTGCCTAGCCTTCGAATACTCACATGATTCCTCCCTTTCCGCATGTACCAGTCCAGAAGCCAGTCCGCTGCAGTCAAGGTCGACTTGTGAGGGAGCTGGCCGAGGATGTCCTTGATGTTGAAGGCCGCCCCTCTCAATTCTCCCTTCCCTTTCCTACTTACTCAATCATTCGCCTCCCGTATTCTTTCTTTCAAAAGCCCAGTAGACTTCAAACTGAAGTGCAGGGACTTCGGTAGGAGGAACAACAGGTGGTTCAGGGCTCGGGCCACCCTTCCTCCGCTGTCCTCGTAGGTTTCGAAAAGGACGGGCTAATCGATCGGAACCGGTTAATATCCTTTTGCTTCGGGATAATATGCACCCGTCTGCACCTCCCCAGCTTATCCCAGCGCCCCAGCGCTTCCAATCTCTCCTTTACTCTTATATACCTTCTCACAGCTCGCCAGTACCTCCGCCTCAGATTCCCAGACAGATATGAAACTATTGTTTCCCCAGAAGATTTACCATTGGACACAGTATCACTGTCTCGGCAGGGTTCCTATCCACTGCCGAGCATACCATCCCCGCGCACATCTGTTTAGATTCCAGCACTTCACCCTTGTAATCCACCTTCCTCTCTCGGCGTCTGTTACAGGCACCTCCCATCTAGGTTATCTCCACCATCCGCTTCACTCCCATTTTAGCTAGGCTTTCATTTACCTCCTCCGTCATCGTCCGCTTCCTGGGTGTCTCCCCATTGCGTGTGATATTCCATGTATTCTTTGTGAATCCTGGGACATGCTCCAGATCGCTGAGTCGGCACTGCACACGACCCTCCCTTCACGGGAGGGCGCCGTCCCCACAATTGCAGACGCCCACCTTCTGCTGCAAGGCATCACAACGGTTATGGAGTATCTCACCAAGAGTAGGATTTCTGTTGCACGAAATCCTTCATTGGCGAAGCAACCCGACAGTACCAACTGAATTGCTCCTTTGCACTGTTTGTTTTCTCAGGCGCGATTATCGAAGGAGACGCTGCAGTAGTCCGCAGCGAGGTGGACACAACTTATTTTATTTATCAAACCGCGTGGTTGGAGACACCCAAATTGACGAACTCAAGATGGGGACCACCGCCTGTCGTGAAAGGGGGTCACTTGGCAGGACCAACCCTTCCAGTGGCCTCTCCATCAGTCCCTAAGTGTGGTCAGTACTCATAACGTTCGGGTAGCGAAGCTTACACTTTTCCAATAGTTCGTCGTGGCTTTCTTCCCTGTACCTTTCCGCTCAATTCAAAGAGTTGCTAGATCTCTTTTAAGGGTGCAGGAGTCTACTGAGCATCGCAGCACAGGTAGGACCGGTTGTGTTCAGTACAGCCGAGGTACGGTCGGTGGGGCTTATGGAGATATGCAAGGCAGCATGGGAGGGAGATAAGTGCTTTAAATCAGGAGGTACAATATGGGGACAGAAATGGGGGTTAATTACGCAGGAGCTGGGAAAGAGTGGAACGATGGGAGAAGTGACTGTCAGAACTGAGGAGGAAGTTCGAAAAGGGAGGGTTATTCGAAATAACCAAGCTGCAGTTGGAAAAGCTGTCCACCGAGAAAGCCGACATCAAACGGGAGCTGCACCAGGCGATTAGAAGTCCCTGGTACAAGAATTCGTACAAGCACGATATCGGCAGACTGATGCAACTGGTCGAATGGGTGCCACCGCAGCACTCCTCTCACCTCGTGCGCCCGCGTTTGATAGCTGGCCAGTGCGTGCGCTGCATGCTCGCGCGACAAAGCAGCAGCACGGCTGCCTTGCCTGCCCAGGCCAGAATGTCCCCTGGCTGGACGCTCACTTTCCTTTATGGAAAGTGATCCCTGCCTCTTGCTGGGCTGGGCCTGGCGTGTGTGTGCCCAGTAGCTTCACATTGGGCCAAAGCGTCTGTGCCCAGGCCCATGCAGACAGTTGCTTGGGCCCGCAGCATTGAGGCTGCCCAACTGTGCGACGTGGTCAAGGCTGAGCCCACAGTGAGGGGTCATTCCTCGCATAAGGCCCTGTTTATCCATTCTGTTGGAGGATCAGTCCGGTTCCTATTCCACCGGCAAGTCAGAAATACAACAAGAAGTTCAAGAACACCCTCACGCTTCATTCCGTTTCCCCGAAAGCCCGCAAACCCAATCATTACACTTCCCATTTCTTTTGCATTTTCCTCTGGAACTCTCCTAATGCTGCATTTTTGCCTGTCACCAACTAGAGGTGAGTTGTTGGCGCAGCCGTGGCTGCTTGTTGCGATCAGCACACCCAATCATTGCGCTTCCCACGTTTTGTATCTTGTATCTCCCTCTGGGCCTCCTGATGGCCAAGTGGACATGCCTTTCAAGTTTCAACTGGCTTCATCAAATTTTTGCAGCTGTATGTTGAGCAATGAGTTATCTGAGTACCAATCAAGTGTGCTGTGATTACCGTTTTGTCAGAAGATCAGGAAAAGCAAACAAAAAACTGAAGCACAAGCAGAAGCAGAAGAACAAGATGACGATGACGAAGACGAAGAACAAAGGCGAAGAAGAAGAAGAAGACGAAGACGACGAACAAGACGAACAAGACGAACAAGACGAACAAAGACAAACAAGACGAACAAGACGAACAAGAAGAAGAAAGACGACGACGACGAAGAAGAAGAAGAAAGACGACGACGACAAAGAAGACGACGACGACGACGAAGAAGAAGAAGAAGAAGAAGAAGAAGAAGAAGAAGAAGAAGAAGAAGAAGAAGAAGAAGAAG